AAGAATTTCGGGGTACTCGTGCTTTATTTGCGTGTATTTTCGTTAATATTAAAATTTGATTCAATCATGTTGTTTCAAGCAAACCACTAAGATACGCAGATAAATGCCAAATCATATGCCAAATTGCCGAAATAATTCCGAATTTTCCATTGCAAATCGCTTCTCAAGTGTCGCAGCGCTAGAGTGTTTAAATATAGTGCAGGATTCGTTGGCAAAATATCTGCCGCCCTGAAAACCATGTAGTGTTTTTCTTCTAAAATCTACAAGCTTTTATTGGTAAATGAACCATACTTTTCTAGCAATGCGTTTTCGGCAATTGAACGCCCTCCTCAATATCCCACTCCAAACCGGATTAATGCACGTTACGTTGCTTATCGGATTGCTTCGCCGTGACAGTTCAAAACGATTGCATTGCTAAAGAGCCTTTCCAGGATAAACCTGAGGGTTGAAATGCTCCTCGGACTAAAGGCTATTCTAAACTCCTAACGTTACGCGAAAAATGTAAGCTTGGATTATTCGCAACAATGAGGAAACGATTGCACAGCAGTTCTGGCGGTTCGCTGACGGAGTAATGTCGTTCTTGAATTTATGTGTCATTTACCTCGGCCAACTTGATACCTATGGTAGAACGTTTATTAGTAGTATACGTGCGGAAACATACAACGCTGGATAGAAATCATTACTCACATGACGGAACCTGCTACCCCAAAATACACCAGAATCCGGTTGAATTCGAGGTCTATCATTATCTCTTCAAACGATTTTTCCTGACTTGTCTGTGTGGTGTTAAGCATTTGCCAGATGAGATGATCCTCTAGTGCACACCACTGCAAACAAGTTGTCTAGTTTTATCAGTAGAATGGTAATACAAAAAGGCCCGATTTTGAGAAAAATAATGGGGTGTAATTTTTCGATTTGTATCGACGTAAAATGGCTCCGGGCGTCTTGCAGTCGATTACGTTCTAAATCACGCCTTAGACTCTTAAGTTGTTCTTGATAATAATGGTCTTTATAACGTCTCCTTAATTTCTTTGATCCAAGTAGCAATAGCTCCTTCAAAACACCTCCATAGTCGGATACGTTTCAAAGCTGTCCGCAGACTCCCGGACTGGTCTTGAGCAGCACAGATTTTACAGTATTTTTCGCCTGAAAAAATAGCTATTCCGTAGGCAGTTGTATCGTCCAGTTCGGCGAGGCTCTTCGAGATTCTGAGACATGGATAAAGAGAAAGAATGCAGAAACACCAATTGTTCTACAGCGAATTCAAAAGCACAGAAGTGATAATGAAGGCGCATTGTGGTAGACGATCTGTGACTAGTCAACATAACCTGGAAGGAGTTGGTCCCGCACTTGCGCAGCCATAACCTCAACAATCCCGGTTTCCAATGCGTGTGATATCTGCCACCTGGTACTGAATGCGGGGGACCTTGTTAAGAATCACCTTATTCCACTTTCCAGCTCTAAATAGGATCGCACTTTTTTGGCAAAATAATAAAACCACTTTGACGTGTTGAAGTCATATATTACGCCTACTATTACTGTCAGAGAAAATTGGGAATACAGTCGAAATTCTTAGGACGGGAATTTTGGGTCAGGGTTCAGATATCTAATGCGGTCTAGTCGATAAAAGACATCGGTTCGCTGGAGTTGGATGTTTGTCGACATAAAGGACCCTCACGGTGAACTCTACAGTCGCATTTTCTATAGATCCAATTAAACCGCGGGCAAATTTCGGAGTTCCGTCCTATCATTTGGTCATCTTCCGAGTGTCTGGCGCTTCACTTGAGCACAACTACTGTGGGTGAAATCTTAGAACTGATAAAGATATGCCTGGAACATATCTCACCTAACACCATAATCACAATACCATCTTTGAAATTTACCTGGATATATTTCTAAGAAAACTGAGTTACCAGCTACTATCTACCTAGTCGCGACACTGTTCTAAATGGTTTACGTCCGCCCTCCTCCAGCAGAGAGTAAGTTTGAATTTTTCCGAACTAAATCATGCAATATAGACATTTATCGTTTGTTACGAATATGCTGGTGTGATTGTGTTACCGGTCGAAGATTATTGGATTGCAATTCGGTGTCTAATTTCCATCGTGTGGTTTCCGAGATTAGTGCTTACAGTTGGATTATAAAGGCATTCACTCCACGGCAACTATTCAAATTATGAACGCCCAGGTAGGAAGGCAGGGCATAAAATGACATTGAGTATAATTGTTGCACGAGAATGTGATTTTCATAAAAATTTTGTGTTTGACACATTAGGTGAAGAAATATTGTGAAAAACCCATTTACATAAGTAACCAGATGTGGTAGGCCGTAAGAATTCAGTGCGGCATCCAGAACAAAATGGGAAACACCTAGAATCGATATAAATTGAGATCCGATTATAGGAAGCCAAAGACGGTGTGTTGGTTACCATGTCGATATATTTCCCCTTTTGCCCATTTCATCGTACTAGATAGTGAGTTTGTGTAACCAATTGATCGCACATAAATGACGTTGGTTTTTATGTATCGGCCAACATTATTCATTACACATGGGGTTTCCTAAGAATGTCCGAGCTCACTA